CAGAAACGCATAAAAAGGGGGACGATCCGTTTCGAAGGCGTTCCTTCTCAGCTATTTCTTTGTAATAAATAAGTGTTCCTTGACGAAAGCTTCTGTCGGCATCATTACATAATACAAACGAACATTAGCAGATAACCCAAAGCAATTACTGCTGTAACAAAAATGCACAAATGGTTCATTCCCAAAAACGCAACAGATTCAAATCCATCAGATAAAACACATATTCCGTTTCATTGTTTCTTTTTAAAAATACATTCTTTTGCGAATCATTATCATTATTCGCAAAAGAATATATTTTTAAAAACACACACGCTGGCGACACACGACAATGAAAGCAGATGCCCAAACACCAATACCCGTTGAAAATCGCTGCTTACCTGCCTTCATTCCAGTACGATGCCACTCTCAGCGCCACCATCGTGATTTGTCGCGCGGTTTAGCAAAGATGACAACTTTAGCTTGTGACGATATGAAGGTGCTGCTGCGTGTGTCTGCCGCGTAAGCCAATCAATACAAGCAACGAATCGCACAACTGCACTCGCCAGAAACCTCCGTTTCTCCTTCCTTGTTTCAGGAAGATGCCGCTCGCAGCGTTGCCACCCTTCATGCTGCAGTGTGCGCCCGGCCAAAGCTTACAAGAGTGCAGCCAAGTTCCTTCTGCAGTCGCTCTCTATGTTCGATGAGCCTGCGAAAGAAAACTTGTTTTACCTTTTATGCGCTCTAATACTGTATGACAAAAACGCATATTGCAACGACCCTGTCAGTGTGTGTATGTGTGTATATGTTTGTGTGTATTTTTGCGTATGTGTGTGTGTGCGTGTGTGTGTGCGCATTGTGTTCGTCTGCTAGGTATTTCAACTCGCCAGCCACGCAAGCTTTGAAGCTGAAATTTTGCCAGTGTGTTGCCTGGCCAAATGCCACCTCAGGACCGCGGTATCAACCCTCATGCACGTCTGAGCCCCGCATACAACCATGCGAAAATTTTGGCGGGAAAACTGCCAACTGGGGAACGAGAAAAGCTAGAAAGCTGAAACTTTAGAATAAGTCCCGTACCCATTTATGACTAAAAGATATCAAATTCAGCTGCCTAAGACTGCCCGAACTTACGTACAGGCGTGTAAAGGCAACTACTAAAGCACGGCTTAACTCGGCTAGCCTCGGCTCACCTTGGTCAGCT